GATCAGCCAAAAAAAAGTTGGTCTCTGCCTCGGTCCTTAGAGGGGGGTGCTCAATCATTGTGAGATTACTCCACAATCAAATCATTTTTGGAAATATCCATCTTTGAAAAATTTGTATCTGAAAATAATTTTGGTGGTGTTGTGCTGATTTTTCTTACACCCCACTCTAGAAGACAAAATTAGTGTTGCTGGCCCAGCTAGCCTAATCTAAGCTAAAACCTAAGCCTCCCATGTGGTGCTCAAAAATACCAAGGTGTTAATAGATGAGTGAAAGGGTCAAAGAGGGAAAGACTCAATGAGTTTGTATTTCTGGATCCACAAACCAAGAGTATAAATAGTAAAGAAGATGCACTGCAACTGAGTTAAAACAGTAGAAAGATATTCTAATCTGGACTGATGAGAGCACAGAAAGATACAAGCATAACTAGATAAATATTCTAATGATGAGTTTGAAAGGAAAAATAGAGAGCTACAATACATGAATACTAACACAAGGCTCTTGGATATCCTCCTCACAAAAGCTTATTATGAACCCCTTATATGTGAATTCTGTGCAGAACCTGAGCCTGAGGGGATCTGCCAGTGCCAGAAATTAAGTAATGGGTCATTTCTTGTGTACTTTTTGAAAGTGTCATCTATCCTATATGCCCCTCGTATTTTGGCATGATTTTCACTTGTTGGAATGACTTAGCAATTGTTTCTGAGATGTGTGAAGATGTATTTAATCTTGAGGTGAAGCGTTTCCTGGCAGTGTACTTTGGATTGTGGTGCAATTATCCGACGAGTTGAGTCGGCTCGGGTTTGGCACACAATAGACTTTATCCTGCGGCAACCCGGATATTCCCCGCCCCAGAGACCACCACACCACCAAAGCACACTACCACCAATCACGAGAACACCTGAACCATTCCAATCGACATCGCATCGGGGATGGCTATCGCCGACTCATCAGATCCTACCGAACATGACCATCCATCCTCCTCCTCAGCTGCTGCTGCTGCTCGGCTGGCCCCAAGACGGAAACGGGTCTGGAAAGCGAACAAGATATTCCGCAATCAACTCAAATTCATCGGACCTGGCATAGTGGCCGCGTCAGTTCTTCTTGCCCTGTCCTGTTCACATTTTACACGCTTTTATTAGTGAGAAAAAATTGATTAATGTCATACTGACACGTCATTTTATTTATTTTATTTGGCTTGCTGCTTATTCTTCTAGAGTAGCTTATTGTGATCCAGGAAACGTAAGGCAGAATTCGTTTCTCTCAGTATTGCTACCTCTGATCCTATTTCCTTTAATTTTGGCTTCTTCAGTGGGCAACTGATTTAGAAGCCGGTTCCACATTTGGATATGCCCACCTATTCGTAATTCTCTCGGCTTCGATGATGGCGATAGTGCTTCAGGTTCTTGCAACCCGGTTGGGTTACGTTACGGGGAAAGGTTAGTCAGTGCACAGATAAACAAAAGTACATCATTCACCATTGACGGCCGACGTGGGCATTGATTTATCACAGACCTGGCACAGCACTGCAGAGCAAGGTTTTATGATCGTCCAACACACACGAAACTGTGGCGGTGGGCTTGTTTATATCCTCTGTATGCTGTTTGTGAGGCTGGAATCATGTATGTCCCCTTCATTGTGCAATCTTCATCCAAGTATTGCCTTATCTGAAATTGAGTCATCTTTTTCCTACCCATGCTGCAAAGATTTACCGATTTAGCTGAATTGCTTGGTTCCGCGATTGCGCTCAAAATGTTCGAGTTGTTCTGTCCTATCTCTTTTCTTCAAGAGAAAAGGAAAACCCACAGAGTCGAGCTGAGCAATACCCAATTATGAATTAGGTTGATTCCAAGATTGCCGCTTTGGGTTGGCGTCCTACTTACTTCAACCGACGTTTTCATAGTCCTAGCCTTCTTCAATTCCTATCCAGAAATCTCCAGTCGCAGCCGCCGTTCCATGCATATCTTCGAATTCTCGGTCTCGATACTCGTCCTGATCGTTCTAGTTTCTTTTATCGTCTTGATCGTCAACGTCCAGCCAGATTGGGGGGATACTTTCCGAGGCTACTTGCCCAGTCGGACCATGATTGTCAATGGCGGATTGTATCTTGCGGTCAGCATAGTTGGTAAGTTTTCCCTGGGTCTGGGTGCAAATCCAAAGTTTTCTTATGTTGTAGGGAAAATTGACCAAAATCAATTTATTCGACAGGCGCGACAGTTATGCCTCACTCCATATTCCTAGGTAAGCAGAACAGCAGTCCATTTTATTCCCAGTGCTGGCTCTCAAAACCAGTTGGAATCTCATTCGTGTACAGGTTCCAAGGTTGCCATTTCGGATCGATTAAAGCCTTCGCCTATGGAGGATAAAGAGACACAACTAGGGCGATCACCTGACCCTAGCACTTCTCCAAATCTCTCGCCCATTCAACAATCTGGCGATCTGCCCTCCCTCCAAATCGCTCGCGCAGCTGGCCTACGTTTGCACCAGACCTCACCCGTCAACGACTACGTCAGTTCCGTTGAACATTGTAAAGCCCATCTTGCGCACGCTAGCTTCGATGTCGCCATATCCCTTTTCACGCTTGCTTTGCGTAAGCCCTTGAAGAATATCTGTGTATCACTGAACTCGTTCGGACTTGAGTTACATCACACTAACCTCTCGCGTCTCATGGGGAACAACAAAAGCTATCAATTCAGCTATTCTCATCGTTGCGGCTGCTGCGTTCTATTACAGTGGATCGGATGGCCCCTCACAGGTGGCTGATCTAGCATCGGCTCATCAGTTACTGACGAGTCGCGTTGGAGTCGGATCAGGCTATATCTTTGCCATCGCTTTATTGGTGGCTGGTCAAGCCGCTTCTATTACGGTCACCCTGGCCGGCCAGATTGTCTCTGAGGGATTTATCGAATGGCGCACTCGACCATTCGTCCGAAGACTGGTCACCAGATTAATCGGAATCGTTCCTTCTGCCATTGTGGCTGCATCCGTCGGACCGCAGGGCGTCGATGACCTCTTGATTGGAAGTCAAGTGGCGCTGAGTATGGTTTTACCGTTCGTTTCTCTGTTTTTCGCCTTGCAACCACTCTGAAAGAAGTCATACTGAGGTCTGAAAATAACTTTTACATTTGTGCCCTCAGATTTGTCGTTCTACCTTTGATCATCTTTACATCAGATCCACAGACGATGACCATGCCCAATTACCACTCACTCCCCTCAGGATCACCGATCGGCTCTCCCACCACCACACATCCTACTAAACCACCTGGCGAAAATGAAAACGAAGGCTCGCTGGCGCTCATGTCTTCAAATGAATCTACATTTGAAAACAATTTGGCCACCAAGATCATTGTTGGTCTCATCTTCTGTATTTGTTGCGTCGCTAACGTTTATGCTATTGTACAATTAGCTCAGGGTAGGACTTGAACGATATGTACATTTTGTATTTATTCATGCGGTCAATCAGTCATCTTCGTGTAAAGTTCCACTTTGTTGTTTTGCATTGCGAGTAATCGGAGCTATAGATGTCGTTTTACATAGTCAAAAGGCAGTTTTCTATTCGTATTTTGTTTGTTCATTTGATCCTTACATCACCATTTAACTGTAACTTAAATTCAATTTGGCTGAAGCAAACAATAAGATTGCAAGTGGCTAGACTCATTCACATATCTGTAATGTATCCTCTGACTCCTAGACATGATCAACGGATAGAACAAAGCTAGAAACGTACATTGTGTTAGGTTTGATGTGCAATTAATGATAATGTATAGTTGTTCAGTTGTCTGATATGTTGGCTTGTTTGTTTTGTTTTGGCATCTTCTGTTCAAGTCCAAGAGAAACATCAGGCAACAAATTTTTCAATGGTGGTCTCTTAATCAAATTTGATTTTGGACCATTACCACTTGACTTGCCTTGAAGTTTTGTTTCTTGCCTTGAAGGTTTATCTTTGGAGGATTTTTTTTTCACCAAGCTACGTATCAGACCATTGCTGGTCTGCTCTAGGATGACATTCCAAGGCACTTAGTTTACTTTCTTCATAACTTTAAGTTCATCAAAAAGAAAAGAAGCATTTCACGTCCTGTGATTTTTCCCTGAATGACAGCATGGAAACACAGTACAAAAAGCAACAACAACTTTTGAAGATTCTTTTCAATACAACAAATTACCTCCCCAGCCTCCCATTCAACAGTCAACTTGAAATGCTTCCCAACAATGTGATAATCAGTGGGTCATCAAGATCCATGCCAACTACCAGAACCTGAGTGCAAAATTGGACCACTACTCTTAGGGCCTGTACCGTAGGATTCAATTTTCAAAAATGTGCATTTTTTCCATCCTCTACACAAAAACTGGGAACAATTGGAGAGATCTGGTGTTGAAATTCTTCACTTTCATGCCAAAGACTAGCTTCTAGTTATGGTCAATTTTGATAATATAAAATTTTGAGCAAGATAAATTTTGAGAAATCGAATTCTCATGTCCTATGGTACCGGCCCTTATTTCATAACAGTGTTAGCACAGCTGTGTCATTTTTGAGCACTAGTGCTGAAGTGTTTTCAAATTTTTGCTGTTCTACACTGTGTTGGGCTAAACTACAACACATCAAGCAACCACAAACTGCTTAAAAATGCCGGAGTGGCCCCATTTGTTGGCACACAGTCATGAGGATTTACATAATACCACTCACATTAAACATAAAATCACATATTGTTGACCATGTGAACCTAACACCAAAGATGGTGTGGCTGAGGGTACCTCTGGATCATCACCCAAGCTGGTACTGCTTGGATCCCACCCTTCCTTTAAATCCGCAAAAATATGGAACTTTCAGTTGACAGCACCATACTCATAGTACTAAAGCAAGATTGCAAAAGAAAATTTGGTTGTTTCTGTTTCATTCAATGGGACCAATATAATTCTAAGAGTACAGCTTGGAAAAGCAGGGAACACAAACTATCTTTGCTTCATAATCCTGGGGGAAACATCATATCTCTTTTGGGTGACTCGCAAATCAATCATACATTACATAAAACAATACACATATCTTGAACATCCACCATCATTAAATTGACTGGTTTGAAATAATCCAGCATCTTGTATACATTTTGGTTCGTCATTTGACCCCTTTTGGGGCCCATTGATACAAAACTTGATTTTTTTACAAAGTAACTGGTTTATAATGGTGGATTTCTTATATTTGACACCCCCTAATGGGTGCATAGGACATTGTATGTGCAGTCCAGATCTACCTTAGATGCAGCCCTTCCCACCCAATACTACAGGAAAGACTCAATCAACTGCCACCAGTTGATATAACCTGATAGCTCTGACAAAGCGTTTGCTGTAAATCAACTATTTATGGTGTTCAAAGTTGAGTATGCAAAAAATTATGTATGCATGTCTCATGAATAATCAGATCTTGTTTGCAGAGAAACATGACAATCATGTTGGCCTTTGAACAACACAATTTCTCAAAGGCAGGTTTAAACCAGCTTTGATAGATATAGTCACTAGGACGGTTCACATCTTGAGTTTTAGTCAATTTTATAAACAGGACCAGCATGATGATAGAAAAAATTGCTTTTAATTTAAGTTAAACATTTATGCAATTTAGCAATTACAATCAGATGGAAACAGCGGAACAGCCACATCTGTGTACATCCAAGCTGCTTTGACCCCTCTCTCCACACTACCAAACTATCCATCATCCATTTCCAAATCAACCATAACTCCCAACTTTGGCCCATTGTACTCTGAATTCTGGTATGTGATTTGAAATTTTCTTGCATAACTAATTTGCCTTAATAACAACAGGCTCACAGAATTATGAGGCAGTATTTCAAACAGAAAAGCCTCATTTGTGACATCCTATCAATACTCATCTGGTTGAAAAATGAAGAGACTGGCACAATATTCGAGAGCACTTTTGGCATCAGGAATTTACCAGATATAACTCAATTGGCCTTTCCACAGAGCCAGATATTGCAATCAATTATGAAAAAATTGTTTGGCAAGAACGTTGAGTACAAAATGCAAAGATCTGATACAGTTTCTTTGTCAAATAGATACCTCAATCCTTGGTGTGCACCTAAATCACAAGGAGAATTTGACTTGTAAAGGCTGTTTGACATGCCTGACAATGACTTCCAGCAGGCTGCAAGGACAACTAAGCATGGTTTTGTTATGGTCTTTGAAACAATTGCCAGTAACAAGGTATTTCACCAGGGGGGGGGGGTGACCTCAGCTCCCAATAGTGCATCAACTGGCTTTAAATCTTGAGAGGATTGGATTGAATGGAAATGGTGCAATGGTTAGCTGATTTTCACGTAACTTGCAAGTGGGCCAAGGAACCGTAATCAAAGTCTTACTAGACTTAGTGGTAACATGTTGTGAAAGGCCTGAGGGGGGTAGCAGCTCAGTTGATTAAGATATGGGTGCTGCTGAGTCCAGCAAGGGATTGATCTGTGAGCAGGTATCCATAGTCTATGTGAGTTAATATATAGAGGCTGGATGACAATTGTATCAGATGATAGGCCCATCAAGCCTTGAATGTAGAGCAGTCTTTGACTTAACTGAATATTCCATACAAGGAGGATGTTTTGTGATAGTTGATTGTTGATTGTGAATGGTGGGAGGTGATTGGTGAATATTGAGAGGTGATTGGTGATTATTGAAAAGCAGGTGGGGCACTGAGTTTTTAACCCAAATTTTACTTGTTGTTTACTATAAAAATAAAGCTTGGCTGTCCATTTATCTAAGAGAATTAAATCAAATTTTACAAAAGCAGCATATTTTTTTCTTCAGCAAAGTGACTAGGAATCAAGATGTGAACCATCCTACTGAATAAAAAATCTATTAGATCAAAAACTTGGAGTTGCAATAGCAGAACTACAAAGAGGGTTGCATTGAATTCTGCTAATGCATGGTAAAATCACATGTCACATGTGATGTCACCTTTCATTTGGAAATTCAATCAAATTTTTGGTACTACAAAGTTGATTGCATTTTTGAAAATGTGAGGTGACATCACATGTGAAATGAGTTACTGGAGTATCCTGCATGTCAAGTGATAGCAGTTGTGTGAGTTTTTCTTGCAGAACAAAAGTCTACACTACAGCCAACTCCCTATTATTCCATTTATCTATCAAGCCATAATCATTTTAACTTGTGGAAACTTCAGTCCACTAATTTGGTGAGCAGGGAAATTTGATCTTGACCCATCAGTCTCTATAGCCCAGCAAATCATTCTGTTTTTGGAGAAAAAAGTAGATCTCCATGGGTTCATAGGGACTTTTGCCACAAACGTTTTAGGTTTTTCAACACGTCACATCAGGTGATCTGGCATTCAATTATTAAAAATCTCAATTCAAATATTATTTATTGTTCCCCTCTCCCAATCATTTCTAACATAATTTCTTACATAATTGTTTAACTGTTGTGTAACCAAGGCCAAACCCTACATACTTAATTCAACACATCAATGTTTGTGTCACATGTCACAAACATGTCCAAAAATTCTGGAGCCCTCTATTTTCATTTCTTGATGTCCAGGAAGAGCAATTTTCTGAAAAGAAAACCAAGGCTCAAAAATGTATTTTAATGGCTGAAAACCAAACATGGTAGTCTTTCCAAAGAAGAAGATGGGTGAATTGATAACACTAGTGTCAAGTGGAAACTTGTTTTTTGAATTCATCTATAGCAATATGAACTTTTAACCAAGAAAGCAGTCTGCTAAAAATTGAAAAATTCCTCTCACCTAATGTATTCAATTTCTATGAGTTAAAAGAGATCTTATATCAATAAAACTATGAAAACATGGGTAAATAGGGAGCTATCATTTACCCATGGTTTCACAAATCACTTTCAGTGGAGGAATTCCCATTGCCATTTAGAGTAATTTTTAGAGCTGTCCAAGTCCTGACATCAGAAACCAACAATGCTCAATTGATGACAGTTGAAATCAGGAAACGTTCAGCATGCTACCCACTTTGAACCCATCTCAACTGCAGTTCAAACTAGTACACAAGAGGGCCATCACTGGGGTTGTACTCAATGTTACATGATGACACCTGTCATCTGGTGAGCATTGTTTTTCCTGGTGTAAATCAACAAACAATGCAATTGAAATTACAACCAGCTCACATGAGAGCCATTGATAGAAGCAACGGTGCAACAGAGACAATACAAGACAGTATCAGGTGTTTATTTGTATTGCTCAGAATGTGAATACCCAAAAATACCGGATTTGTGTTGTCTCACTTTCCTGAGACAATACACATGTATTGTCTTTGAAAAGTGATACAAGTATTCTGTATTGTCTCAGATGACTGATCCCACCAAAACCGTATTTGATACACAATATATCTGGCCGTATTGAAGAAAAAAAAAAACGAAGACATTTTTTCATTTGTAAATCTGAATCCGAGACAATAATTTTTTTTCTCCAAACAAGAAAATACTGATACCAGTATCAGGCTCAAAATAAAGACAATACAATCTGATACAAATACATGTCTCATATCTGTTGCACCGTTGATAGAAGCAGCAATGGGTAGTTACGCTACCCGTAACGGTAGCGTAACGATAGCGTAACACCATTGGAATCAATATCGCTACCGTTAACGGTAACGATTGTTCGCTACGCTACTGCAGTGAAGAAGTTAGGTTTTTTTTTTGGTTGTTACGATAAAAATGGGGGCAGGGAGATTATTTTATTTTTATTTACC